CATACGTAACTTGATCGCTGTTCAAACATCAAGTGCCAAGACGACCTCGTGAATGGATCCTGGGATGGAGTCCTCACGGTGGTTCGCTTTGCAATGAATGCCACGATTCATACCACCTTGCGCGCAACGCCCGCACAGCTCGTGTTCAATCGTGACGCGATTCCAACGTCCGGTTCGAAGCCACTGGAAGTACATTAAGGAACGTCGCCAACGACTAATCCAACAAACAACGATAGGGAAACCGCACACGTGTCCCTCATCAAAAATGTCAACGATACTGTGATGATTCAACAGTATCAGCACCGCAAGTACGGTCACCAAGTACAAAGGTCCTTACTCATAGACCGAGTCAATGACAATGGCACTGAACGGCTCCAACATGCTACCGCCACGGCGGCACAGTCTACCAACTTGGAACATAAGGTATATACACCCATACAGGCCTGATCCCCTTGTAAGATTGCATCGTGCGACGCACATGTCTACATCCAAATCTCATGAGAGTGCCCGCACTTTAAATTATGTTCTCTTGTCCACTGCTGTCGCCTTCTGTGACCTTGTCAGGGGCGAATGCAATACACGGCTCTTAGCCTTATTGCGACTCGATCCTAGATAGGGTTTGAGTTCGACTCATGACTGAGTCTCTCGTGAATAGTCATTTGAGACAGGGTTCTCAAGACCGCGCTAGTCATACTAGGTTGATGATAGAACATCGCTCTAGATATTTAGCCAGTGGAGTACTTCCACGCTACAAGATCCAGGCTAGACAAACCTTCCACGCGTTCCGTTTTAGGATCGTGAGAGACGTAGGATTACTACCACAACCTACTCTATCACACTTATAGTCTCCCGCGGGAAGCCAGATCTACGATCCCTTGATGATGATCTCTCTCGTTGATTAGTTTTCATAGCTTTCTAATCTCTCTCATAACTTTCATTCTCATTCTCATAACTTTCATTCTCTCAAACTCAAAACACTCGAAAGATCTTTACACTAGCTTTTAGCGTAGTGCACATCCACAGAAACAACAAAGGGATGAAAGGAAGTTCATTGATGGTACCAGAAGGAGTAGCTACTCGAGTAGTATCAGTCACGATTACGGCCATCGGATATACGTACAGTAGCCAGTGCCGAAACAAAAAGAAACAGCATCATTGCTTCTTTGGTTCTTGGGCGGCATCATTGGCCGAATTTTAAAAGTAGGTCCACACTTGTTCTAGTCGTAGATTATTGTTGCTGATGAGTTTGCCTAGCTGGCTAGACCCATATGAAGGTCTCTGGAAGTCTCCTTTGTGTATTCCATGCTACAGTTCTGTCGTCAGCTTTATCTTTCTGCTAGTGCCTCGTGTTGGTGTGACTCCTAATGGAGGCAGCTACCTCCATTTGGAGCCCTCAGTCAAGTGGCCATAACTCCATCAATTCTTGGCCGATTTAGCTGATCTTTGAACCTATAAGACGTCTTAATATATCTCTTTAACTGATGACTACAACAGGTCTCCACTGCTAGCACTGAGATAGCCACAGAGCAGCGCAACAAGGGGCAACAAGACCGCCATGGTGCCGAAATGGAGGTACCTCCATTTGGTTAGATGTCATGGAATGGCTTCACCGGCCAGTCAGAGAGTAACAGAGTGGCCTACCAATGATGCATGGAGTGTCCCATTGCACACAGTGGCAGGTTGATTGAGTAGATCAATGGCAAGCGGAGGACGCGACACGTGTGGAGGTATCTGCAAAGAAGAAAGCCAACTTATCGACGCATTCCTCTCCTTCATGATCGGCATCAAAGTCACCATCCAAAGCAGCCACTAGCTGCTCCTTGAAACAAAGACATTCAACAAGCCTGTCGGACGACTTGCCAACCTCCACGATCAGTTGAAGATACTCCAAGCCTTCATCGTTGTTATCAAAGTCCATCCGAAGAAGATAGTGCTTGGCTCGCCTCTTTTCACTCAACCCTTGCTTGTGACGTACATCATACCGGCAGCCAACAGGCAGCCACAACGAAGCCTTGAACGGCTCTCCTTTCATTGCCATGTGTGTGCCCTTCACATGAGAGAAGCAATTAATGTAGATTCGATGGAGAATGGTAGATTCAAACTGCTCTAAATAGAGCTCGCCTTGTACATGATCACTTTCTCGTCGACAGAAGTACTTGAACCGAAAGGAGACGCCATCAAGGTATCCACCTGTGGTGCCATTGCTGTCTTGGACGAGTCTCCAAGTTTGTGTGCTGCCCACTGGAGTCTCTGTTGGCGTTGGAAGGGCATCATTGGTGACAGTCGTCTCGGTAACAAGCTTGTTGTTGAAACAATAGGCATGGGCGAGTTCATTCAAATAATCTTCTGCAAACAGATTCAATACGTAGCCAAGTCCGATAAAGAGGAGCCTTACATAGAAGAGGAGAGCAATACCAGCAGCAGTCATGAAGCTGACACATGCTGGTGTAACCCAGCCAACAGCGACAACAGCCACAGATACAGCATCAAACGAAGACAACATGGCTAAAAACTCGAGAGATAAAGCAAATGAGTGAGCCACCCAAACAGACAAACAGACTTGTCCTCGGTGTTGGATCTGGCGGGCTGTGGTCGACTTACTCTCTCTCTGTCATTGAATCGACTCAAACAGCAGCTTTGATAGCGTTCAAATAATTCCTTCACAACAAAAACTTGAGAAATTTCCGCGCCAAGGAGTAACGGTCGGCGTGGCACTGCAAAATCCAACCAACCAACCAAACCAACAATCAATTGAGCCCTCATTTCTCCAGCAAACACACTGCAATCATGTCGCTCAGAGTCATCGATCCAACCAATGTCATCGTCTGCTTCGAGGAAGATGGCAACCAGTCCTACTTCAAGCTCACAGCAGCGATCTACGATGGCGATTTCCAGTTCTCCCTTGTCTGAGTTGCCTTTCATGAGATTGGAGAAGCCATTCCTGTAACCATCCATCACAACCAGGAGGCAGCCGATGCCGCTGCTCCAGCTCCAACCATCAATCGCAACCAGCAGGCTGCTGCTCCGGCTCCAACCACCATGGACTTGAATACGTCCGTCGAGAGCAGCAACGTTTCCACCACGTCCGAAGAGTCAATGGATTTGCTAGCTGATGATAGCGATGATAGCGATGATGAAACCGAAGACGAGAACGATGAGATTGTTGCCTTGGCTCGCCCTCCGACCAACACTGCCACAACTCGTGCCTCCAACAACACTCGCGCCAACACCAACGCTCGATCCAACACCAACACTCGATCCAACAACAACACTCGTTCCAATAACAGCACTCGCCGCAGCCGTCGTCGTCGTCCCAGTGTTGTTGATGCGGAATTCCAGGATGACGATGAGCTCGAAACATTCCCGTGCTCCCAAGATTTCTACCCTGAAATTCATGACTGAGAGGCGCCAGAGCTATTTCCACAGAATCTGAAGCAACAACAAGAAAGGAGAAGTCATATAGTTAGTAGTGGTCATGAGTATTATCAAGCATATTGATTTGGTAGCCGCCATTGTCAACCGCTTCGTTTCGATGGTTGGAGTATTCCACGATTTCTAGTTTCGTTCAGCCGTCGATTCGTTTCAATCGGCAATTCCACAATCAAAGGTCGTTCCACTCACCATGAACCAGCCAGTTCTTATAGCAGATCAGGCTGCTCTCAATCAGCAACGGCACCTTACCACCATTCGGGTTAGCAACTATACAAGGGAGATGAGAGACAGGTACATTGAATGGCTCAAGAATGGTGGTGGAAGAGTTGGCCCCTTCAACGGCAAGTTGCCTCCAGCTCCACTGGTCCCTCCTCCGCTACTCGAACGGCGGGCCCATGCTCAGCTCCAGTTCCATCCCATGCCTGAACTCATGGGTGAGAAAGGTGTCGGCCTCTACCGAGGATGGAAGACTGTCATGAAGATTGTTCTGACCGACGGAGGCCCACCGCTTCCAAGGACTTGGGCTTTCCTTGCCACACCAGCCCCATTGCCTCGCTTCCTCCAGAACCGCCAGTTCATGCTCTGGCCCTACCTCTTTCCAGCGAAATGGGTGGACAAATACTTGGCTGGAGGCCAGTACTGTGTCCCATGCGACAAGTTGACCCCCCTCGGATGCACTATGGAAACTCTGTCGAGGACTGGGACGAAGAAGAGGAGGAGTTTGACGCCACTCTGGCCCCGGCGCCACCTCTCCCACCCAGGAATGGATCATTGTTTGATCTCGAAGCAGGTCATGCAGAGGAGGCGGCCGGTCGACAACTCCTGGACTTGCGGCGATCTGTTGTAGATCTCCCCCCAACTCAAGATGGTATCCAACTGAGCAAAAGTTCGAGGGAGGAATACGATGCGGTGGTTGGGTTGCTTGCTTCTGGCATGGTTGCTTGGAATGCCAAACGTCAGCAGAAAGCAGAATAGGCCGAAAGAAGAAAGAATAGACGGAAAGACGTCAGCAAAGAAAGAATTGGGTCCACTATCAACACGACAATTCACTCACCAATCCACACCTATTGCCTTTGGTCGGTTCCAATGATATAGATAGCCAGCACTGAAACTAAAATAGCAATACTCCTGTATTCAAAGACGCTTGTTTCGGCCATTGTTGGTTTGTTTGGTTCTTGGTTGTATCGAATGAGGTAAACAGAGTCGAAGTTTCGAAAGAGAAAGATCGATTGATCCGTTGTGAAGTTGACTCTTTGCTGCACCCGCCGTTTACTGTACAAAAAAGAGTAGTTTGGGTTCATGACCTGACTGTTTCGGCTCCAGCCGTGCCGCCAAGAGAGCCGCTCCCACTCCATCCGTGCTTGTTTTTATTAAAGATGTTGCTTCTCTCTCAAGATTTTGTCAATGAAGACCTGATAAACCTTGAGACACGATGGCTGGCTGTGCAACCGACAGAATGGAAGGTTCTGTGGCCGCCTTTGCGCTCCTATCGACGCGATTCTCCGACTGCAATGTAGAGCTTTTACCAAAACAATCAGCGTGGAGACGATCCACAAATCGATTTGACGATGGGAAAGGAACGAAAACCAAACTTTACTAGCGGCTTGTGGGTGAAAGAGAGAGCTAAGCCCTACAGACATGGTCAAATCATTTGCCATCATAGAGAGGATGGAAAGCGATACACTTGGTTGGTTCGATTTGAAGAAGCGGATGGCACCACAACAGACGTGGTGAAAACTTCACTGCAGCTGTCGCACACAGAGCAACAAGGGCTCACGCGACCAGTGGAAGGAGCACCAACAGTGGAAGGAGCACCAATAGAGGCAGCACCCACAGGCAGACGCAGCACCCACAGGGGAGGCAGCACCAACAGAGGCAGCGGCAGCACCCACAGAGGCAGCACCAACAGCGGCCGTGGCCCCAAATCCGATCAACCAAATACCAGCTCGGCCCAGACGACGGGCTGCAGCCAACCACAAAATCTGCCCAACACCAGCGCCAGTAGCACCAGCAGCATCGTCGCCACGCACAGCAACCACAGACCAATCTTCAGAACCAGACTACGATTGGTCGAAGCTTCTGTCGAGCAACCAATCGGATTCGGGCAGCGACAAGTCGGACGATGACAAGTCAGACGATGACAAGGCAGACAATGACAAGTCAGACGCATCAAGTCATTCAAGCGCCAATTCGTTCCCTATCCGCAGCAGCAGCGACGATGATTCAGATAATGAGGAACCCCCCGAATCAACCACAACTCCACCAATCAGAGACCCTTCGGCCGGAAATCTATCGAACGGGCAGCCTACATTTGAAGCAGAAGAAGCTCTTGAAGAAGATGTGAATGCAGCTGATGAGCGCGACTTTGAATATGAAGAAGAGCACCGAGAGAAGATGATCCTTTACAAAAGGGAGAAGCAGGAGCTTCTTGATTCAAAGTGGACAGTTGAATTCATGCCGGACAAGCCTCCTATGCCCCCCAATGCAAGTGTCAAGACCAAAGGAAGTAGGCCTCGATTTGGCAAGATTCTTCGTCGAGCAGCTGATGGAATCAAATGGGTGGTGGAATTCGATGGCCAGACTACCGAGCTCTCATCACACTCACTTATTCAGATTTGGGAGCCCAAACCATACGAGTGGAAGATAGTTGAAAACTCTCAGCCTGACGTGTATGTTGAAGACTATGGCCAGATTGGCCTTGCTGGATTTGAGTTCGGCCAATTTGACCCTGAGAAACTGAAGAAGGGAAACAAGCACTACGGCTACCCCTACCTGAAGCTGCTCCAGCGTCTCTGGCCTGGAGACCCTGAGCAGCAACGCAGACAAATAAACCTACGCATCGATGTGGTGAATGGGGAGAGAAAGAAGGCCAATCCAAAGAACCCCACCTTGATGCGCAAGGTCTCCAAGCATGAGTTCTGGAAGTTTATCGGTATCCTTAGTTTGGCTGCTGCTTATCGTGTTGGCGGTCACGAGCTCTTTGAGCAGGATAAGCATCGAAGCGAGTGGACCATTACAGAGCCGATCAACCTTGGCGTCAATGGCGAAGAGCTAATGCCGTTCTATCGTTTCAAGGATGTCAAGTCAGTCTTTCCATGGGGATTCCGAGATGGGGAGGCTGCAGAGAGAGAAGATCCTTGGAACATGATCCGCTTGATAATTGATGGTTACAATGATAATAGAAAGAAGTGGGTTGCAGCATCCAAGTTCAAGGTGTTGGATGAAACCATGAGCGCTTTCAGGCCACGAACCAGTCGACGTGGAAACCTACCACATCTCTCCTACATCAAGAGAAAGCCTGAACCTTTGGGAACAGAGTTCAAGACCGTAGCTTGCGCGAAGACAGGAGTCATTCTCCATGCCGAGATCCAAGAAGGAGCGGAACCAATGAGAGTGAAGGCTTTTACGGATCTGTTCGGTGTCCAATCGGCTACTACAGTCCGACTTGCGATGGCTACCCTGCACTCTGGAATCAAACACCCAGAGTGAAAGGAAGCTCAGAAAGAGAACGAAAAGGAATTCTTCAGAGGCGACTCTTGGTTCACCAGTGTTCCACTGGTTGAATGGATGTTGGAGAATGGCCATGAGTACATTGGAATGTTGAAAACCAGCAGCAAGTACTATCGGAACAAGCAGCTGGAAGAGAAGATGCAGGACTGGCCAAGCGGATCATCCTTAGTGTTGGAAGGTGAGTCTCCAATTACCGGAGGCACTCTTCTTGCTATTGGTTACAAGTACAACAGAAAGAAGGTCTTGTGTCTGCTTGCGACCAAGGATGCTGGAGCTACAGTTCCTGGAAATCCCTACCTTGCTCACTTTTGTGACTCTGTTGGCAACCTTTGCGAGAGGAAAGTGGAGAGGCCTGCTGTTGTTTCCGATTACTTTGAAGACAGCAATGTCATTGATACCCACAATCAAGCCCGGCAGGGCATATTGAAGCTTGAGAAGCGATGGGTAACAAGAGATGGTTGGTTCCGGATTTTGACCACTTTCATTGGGATGACCGTGAGTATTATAAAGTTTGGCTTGCAGACGATGGTGTATTGTGGTGCTAACAGTTTTGTTTCTACATTTTCGTTAAGATTACTGACTGCTGGAGGCTTTATACGCATGGTGTCGACGACCAGCAACAGAAGGATCTCACCATTATAAAGTTTGCAGACAGGCTCTCTGCAGACCTTTGTCGGAACACCTATTCCGATGACCCAAGATCTGGTGGAGGCATGTACATTGCAGTCGACAATGACGTTCCGGATTTTATCGACGTCGGTGCCAATGAAGGAACAGACGCAATCTCGCCAGTTTCTGCAGCCTCTGTTGGATCGATTGTTGATGAGCACAAATTCGCGGACAATTCGGATCGTGAAGACGAAGGACAGGGCCGACCAAAGCGGCGCACCTGCAGATTCAATGGATGCTCAAAAGCAACTCAAAAGAAGTGCCAACATCCCCGTTGCAGAGGAGATCCCTACAATGCCAATGGTCGTGCTTCACGTGGGACATTCTATTGCCCAGATCACTGGGGAGAGCACATCAAGGAGATGGCAATGTGTAAACCCGCGAAATGGTAATTTTTCAATGCTGTTGTCTACTTTTGCTTTATACAGTGTCTAACATGTCTGTTGTTGCTGCTAGAGCCTTCTTTTGGATGGTTTTGGTGGAGTTATAGTTTCGAAACTGCTTCCACCGACGAAAAATGGCCGAAAAAACACCGACAATGACGCTGGTACGTACGCATGAAACCCTGAAACTGAACGGCACCTTGCTCTGCGCTTAATAGTGTCTAATTGTCATGTTTACGACCCTGTTACAGCGTTGCTTTGGATGGTATTGGTGTGCTGGAGCTAAGAAAGACGGATGGAGGTACCTCCAATGGAGCTACCTCCAATGGAGCTACCTCCACCTATTGAACTCATCCAGGAGTCAACCCAACAGCTATGTAACAGCTATAGAATGTGTTTGTGGTCAAATACAAGTCCTAGCCTCACTGTTTGGACCCTTGGAATAGGCTGACAAAGCTCTCTCCAAATGGAGGTAGCTCCATTTTCGGTCACCGACACGAGGCACAAGAGCTCCAGGGATTGTTTCAACAGTGAAGGCCTGTGATGGTGATGTGCCATGAAGAAGTCAGTTTCTTGTTTCCAGAAAAATATTCCAACTCTTTTCAAAATGAATGACGAGGGAAACTTACAGGGGTGGCAACGGCAGCAGGCTTCTTAGCTCCACTGAAGGGGCTGAAAGCACTGGCAGAAGCAGCGAATAGGGTGATGGCAGCAGCAAACTTCATTTTGATGGTTATTGCTTTTTTTTGAAGATGTTTCTTTCTTGTTTTTGTTGATTTTGTGAGAACACTCGGCCATGGATTTTCCTCTCTTCAAAAAGCATTCTCATGGGTGACTGTTACCCGTACCACAATCAGCCTGAAGCCACGTACAGTACGGCTGGCTGACAGCGGTGCGATCACAGGTCTGCGATGTACATGTACTGGTACGACATACCTGGTACAGTCCTACAGTGAGGATGAGTCGAGTCGAGTGGAGTCGAGTCGAGTCAGTGGCTATTTGAGTGAGTCAGTGGCCGATGTTGGTTGCACGAGAGGTGGTTCCTTTGTATCTGTTGGTTGCATGGAAGCCTCTAGCTAGGCAATTTCGGGCAAAATTGGGATAGCGACGAAGGATTGTCTGAATCTGTCTTTCCTTGAAATATTCTTTGAATTCCTTGAGATCAGATCTTGCTCCTTTTTTGATGGGTGTGACACCTAGTTCGATATAATTGTCATCTTTCTTGCAGTACTCAATGCAAGCCATGTGTTGGTTTGCAATAGATATGCAATGGACTTGGCCGATGATCCTTACCACTTGCTGCACCCTTTTCCGATCTTTGAAGCGGACGAACCCTTCCAAAGGCATACTTCTCCTTTTCTTGAAGTGGTGGGGTGAAGGGCGGTAAAACATGATGCCGACTGGGTGGGAACATGTTGTGGAACATGATGCCGACTGGGTGGAGTTGAGCTTGCGACGCGGGTATGTGTCCCGTTAGGCAAGCTACAAGCACTTCAACAAGCTACAAGCACTACATTGTAAATGTACAACAAGCTACAGAGCATTACAACAAGCTACAGAGCACTACAACAAGCTACAAGCACTACAACAAGCTACAATGCACTACAACAAGCTACAATGCACTGCAACAAGCTACAAGCACTACAACCAGCTACAAAGCACTACAACAAGTTACAAAACACTACAACAGGCTACAAGCAAGCACTACAGGTTGGATCGTCCCGATCCATAGCTAGCTAGTTTGGGACGCCGCTCAATCGCCGCGGAGGCTGGTAAGCCGTACAGGAAAACGGGATTCAAAACTAAGTTTAAACGTCGCACGGGGACTTGACCTTAATTCATTGTAGGGGACGGGGAATAAGTAACTTCAAATTTCCACGACTGGAAACAAGCCCTTAAACAAGCCCTTAAATCTTCAACAAGCCCTTAAACAAGCCCTTAAAAAACAAACCCTTAACAACAAGCCCTTAAGTTCTCAAAACATATCCTTAAGCCTTCGTGAAAACCCCATAGAACAAGCCCTTATCAGGAGCAAACAAGCTATTAAATAAACAAGCCCTTAAAACAAACCCTTAAAGCTTCATCAAGCCCTTAAACAACCCCTTAGAAAACAAGCCCTTAATTGTACTGGAGTCAGTTGTGTCAAGTTTTAAAGCCTGAGTGAAAAACGTCGGACGGTCCAGCAACGAATACCTGGTACCGGTACGTGTTCAAAAATCTTCAGGAAGAGTGCCTTTCTCTACTACTGTACTACTGGACCTCTGTGGAAACTTGAGTCGTGCTACCGATCGTCTCCTAAATCCTTTTGATCGTCTCCTATTTAATGGATTTCGTCTCCTAAAAAGAACAAGCAGCCGGAGGCTGGTGCCCTCAACTGTCAAAAAGAGATTTGATTGGTCAAATCCTTTACCGTGTTCAACTGGACACACTATTGATAGCAAGTCTCCATAGCCAGCCAGTACGGGCACAGTACCCATGGGTCCAGAGTACTGTGTCCAACAGAACACACAATATAAATCCCTATCCTAACAAGGAAAATGTCCTTATGTCTTTGGCAAAACCTCCACCGTGTTTATCTGGACACACTAGCGAGTCTGCATAGCCAGCCAGTACTGGTACCCATGCGTAGAAACTATGTGTCCAACAGAACACACAACATTAATCCCTATTTAATGAAGCAAGTGTCCCTTATGCGACGAAAAAGCTGCAACAAACACACACACAAACACCACAACACACACAAACACACACACATCTCACACAACATCACACATCTCACACAGCACTCACGTACACACACCTACACACACATTCTCGTGTCGAGAAAAGGATCTGTCGTCCCAGAACCACCAAAACGCCATTTCAGCTCCTTCGAAACACCAACGAAGGCGCAACTACAATTTGAAGGTCTGAACCTGACTCAAGAGTACTCAGTATATCAAGGGTATCTCCAGTTGGTTCCCCTTCGAACCCCCAAAGCATCATTGTCGCCCCGATCGATAGACTACTTCGTACGGAGCGAAAAAGAGGTACGGAGCGAAAAAGAGGTACGAAAAAGATACGCCAAGGTAGCACACCTGCTCTGGATACTCTTCGCTCCTTTCGAATCAATCGAGTCGAATCGAATCAACCGAATCGAACGCACCTCTACGTACGTCACTCGGAACTCGGAACAAATCGTTCCACGGAATTCCAGCGAAACACGACTGAACACCTTGGTTTTAAGATAATACGTATTCTCGCTCTGAGCCACGGAACGGAGCGATTTTTCGAACATACCAACCAACCAAGGTCTAGCCACACTATTAAGGCAACCAACCAACACGGTTACAGACAACAATATCAATAGTAACACTAGCAACAATGCCTGAGGCAAGAATTGAGAGAGTTCCCATCCTTCGCAATGGTGGTCGTGGCAGAGGCCGCGGCCGCCGCAACTCCAATGGCGGCAACACCAACGCCAACAGGAACAACAACCAGCGCGAAGATGATGGCTCCCCCAGCAGGAAACGAACTGCCTTTGATCCATCCGCGATCAATCCTCAGACATACCAACCCGATGCAACACAAAAGGAATCACGAGTGGCCCCACTGCAAGCCGCCCTGAATTTCCTACATGGCACCACTGCGACGCTCCATGAGGCATACCACCGTACCGTCAACAAAGTAGGAGAGGAATTCATCAAAGCCTTTGCGGCACACCAGCGCAACAAGGACACTCTCGACGGTATGATTGATGGCAACAACCAAACCGGGGAATTGACCCCGTCCCGGATTCCGAAATCAGTCGATATCAAATTCGAACTGAAGGCTGGCAACCCAGCAATGGAGAGCGATGCGAGCTTCCAAGCTCTCCAACAAGAATCCACACAAGCTGTTGAACTCTACAAACAAACCCAAGCAAAAATTCTCATCCGAAAGAAACAACTGGACGTCCAATATGCTCAAAAGGCCGTAGCCGAGTCCCTGGCTAGAGGCCTTCTGCCCATCGCCAATGGCCACAAGGTCATCTGCGGCAGAGAGAATCTCAATGGCCATGCAATCGTCAACACCATCCTGGAGGCACACCACGAGGTGTTACTCAAACAAAGAGAGAGATCGCTCCTCTGATGTTTGATCCATTGAGCTGGACGTCTATGTCTGTAATGATATGTTCCATAGGCCATTATAGTATTGCTGCGCAGGTCTGCCACTGAGACTGTCCCTCATGCTATCCCAGGAATCGGCACACACAGCATCGCTAGGTGATGTATCGGGTGCCATCGATCGCCGTACAGCAGCCAAGGGCCCCAGGGGCCGGTTTCTGCTGCTGACAGGCGCCAACAGGATGCTGAGCGGTCTGAATATCGGGGGTAGCAGGTATCCCGTGGCTTCTAATGCTGCAGCCATGCGA